TTGTTTTTTAACTTTTCTCTTGACTGAACTTGACCTTTCACATGAATTTACTTTTACTCTGTTTTCACAAGTCTGGTCACAGCTGTTTATATGTCTATCACTTAGGCCTTCTACAAATCTCCATAGCCTCAACATCAATGAATTACAAACACAATATAACTTAATTAATAATACTACCTACACTAAATAGTCTTTTATATCTGACAATCTATATGGTTTGCATTTTGTTTTTTTGCTAAATATCACTGTTTGTAACTTTTTGCAGAATGAGATTTTTAAAAATTAGAACAGGGTTCATCAAGTCCTGGGAACCTCATGGATTTGCAAGTTCAAATTCCAATCTGGGAACTTTTTGAAAAATCTCACTGTAGTTATGGTTCTTTTCTGGGTGAAACTGGAACCAACAGGTAAGTACTAAGTACAGAATAACAGGATGATTGAAAAACCTTATTTTGGAAAGAAAAAAAGTTAAGATGGGAAGCAAAGGAAAGACTTTGAATCTTGCTTAAAACACAATGAAGACCAAAAAAATTTATTTATACCACATTTTCAAGTCAGATCAAAGTTTTTGTGCAGTATCCCACAATCCTAGATTACCTACATAAGTGATCATTCTAATTTTACACACTCAAAGGAAAATTAACTTTCAGCTTGCACCTTCTTTACAAACTTCTTTACAACTACTCTACTTATGAGGAACAACTAACACAGAAACATGGTAATGTGAGCATTCACTCTATGAATTGGCCACTATTTTATGTAATCTTAACCCAGTGCAAGGATTAATGTAAATTCACAAGTACTTGTATCATGCTTAAAAGGACATTTATTAATTGTGCTGCACCTGCATGGAAAATTTTGGAAAATATTCCTCAATATCCTTTAATGGGATATTGTTATTATAGCTATAAAAGGGTAAAACCTTTTTGTCTTGTGAAAATTATTTTGGTCTGAAGTCCTACAGCCATTACATAGAACATATTCTTTAGTAGACTTCATTATGGTCTTGCATAAATGAGAATATTTAAACTTAGACATAATATTTACAAATTTATTTCATGTTGTTATAGGCAGTAGTTTCGAATGCATACAATTTACAATTCTCAATCAATTAACCTTTGTTTGAGCTGCATGATATTAAGTAATAGTAAGCCAATAAGAACATAATTTTTCATTTTATAAAACAGTTTAGGTTTTGCAATATTTCTTATTTCTGCTTCTTAAAAATGTATCTTTAAGAAAACCTTTCACAGTCTGGTCCCAAATTTTGGATTCCTACAACTTGCTGTTGGCAACTAGAGGATGAGGAATGCAACACTTAAAATAGCACTTGTGCATTACCACTAAAATATGCTAAATTCATTCCCACAATGAAACTGTTTATATGAAAGCTGCTTGAAACTTTGAAACTATTTATATTAAATACATAAATGGTTTATACTTTTTTTAAACGTGATTCTCATACATATGCAAAAAAAAAGTATAAACAAATGAATATTCAAGATCGTTGGTTCATAACAGTTTTTTTTTTAGGTGGAGTAGTCTATATTGGATTAGAAGTGATTATGGCCTGGATCTGCCTCAAGCATAGGACAGGATGTTGTTTAGGTCTCTTTGCTGAGGGCCTTGATGAGGATCAAAACATTGTCCAGACTTGCATTGCTGTCATATGGTGCCTGAGAAACTTCATATCCAACTCTATAAGTGATTTGTAAATTTTCATACAGTTTAAATAAAATGAGTAGTTTTGGCAGTCAAACTTTTAACCAGTTATGTATGTGCATGTGTTGGTTGATGCTGAAGAAAATATATCATCAAATTCAGGGAAGTTAGACACTTTGAGTAATTGCCTAGTTAAAAAGAAGACAAGCTGGAAAGGATGGTTACAGAGCATGTGGTTCTATGGGAAATATTTGGTGAAGGTAAATATAATCAAGGAATGACTCAAGTCTACAAAAAAGGAAGGAGTTTGGGCATGTTTTAACATTTCATCCTGTAGTCTGTTATTAAAGATTTTGTATGGCATAGTCTGCTCTTATGGCTGTGATGCTGGAAATATATGCAACAATGTTATTTGAAAGCACGGTCTATCTCATGATCCATTTAGCTTATAATACTGAATTGCCTATGAAGTCTCACTGCTGCTGCTAATCTATGCTCTCCTTTTTTTTTAATGCCACAAAACCAGTATATTACTTCATGAACTAGATTCTATCATAAATTTTCATGTATTTTTTATTTAAGTGTGTGTGTGTGTTTTCCATAGCAAAGCCACATTGGGCTATCTGCTGTGTCTACTAGGGAGAATCAAACCCCTGATTTTAGCATTGTAAATCCATATACTTGCTGCTGTCCCACGGGGGACTAATTAATAAGTCAAAACAGCTTTGTTAACAAGATTTTGACTGTAATAGAAGATACAGTAGATTTGGAGAATGTTTACAAAAAAAAAGTAGGTGAATTATTATTATTATTATTTCCCCTCTCTAGTAAACTGTGAGGTTTTACTACAGCTACTAAATAAGTATATATAAAAAAACATAATTGTTCTTTTTGACAAATACTAATTAATGTACTATCCATAAATTTCAAGTCTCGCGAAATACTATTTTGATAGTTTTCTTAAAATACAACATCAAAATAGTCTAACGTGGTAGTTACAAACTGCTTCCAAACTCATTGAAATCTGATCATTAACTATTAAGTGATTTTATAAAACTCCAGGACCAGTAGTGAAGCAAACTTGACTTTTCGAAGCATAAAAATATTTCTCAAAGTTGACCTATGTTAATTTATCATTCGATTATGAACACTAAACACTACAATGTGAATGACATTCTTTCTGTTAGCCTCAGTTGTTTTATTTTTCACCCTTCTATTTTTCCTCCCACAGAGAAACACACGCGCCTATACATTACATTTGTAGGGATATGAACGCCGGTGTTGCTGTACTAAGTACAGTAGGGTTGTTTCGTAATTTTCAACTTGATGACATGTTCGCAGTTCTAACATTTGTTTTGTTTCATTATTTCAGTACAATTTAGTAAAGAAATGTTCTCATCCCTGTGTTTTTCGAAATGCTAGAGAAAGGAAAGCTACGAGAACAGAGTATTAAATACTTTCCTGTTTAATTGGCAAGAGACCAACATAAACCAAGTAATGAAGCTTTTAAGTTATTTACGAGGACGATTTAATAGAGGTCTTCAAAGAGACATTATGAAGTTTGTGCCCGACGTAACAATCATGATTGTTTTTTTTGTTGTTTGTTTGTTTTTTATGGTTGTACATACTAGTGGACATTCATTAAATCAAACGTCAACAGAAAAAAAAGAAAATAATGATATTCAGATTGCTGGTTAGAAATCGTACTGTTACGTATCCGTTTG